AAGCATGGAGCCGACTTCCCGGGGCAATCAGGAAGCCGGGCACCGCGTCAATACACGGCGCCCGGCTTCCATGATTGGCCAGCAAGCCGGCTCCATGCTTTCTCGTCACATAGTGACGGCCTCCCTGCTAATAGGGAAGCCTGGTGGCGAGTCTTTACACACCGCCTGGCTTCCTGAATGGGACTTCCGGTACTCGATATTCGGTATCGGCGAGTACTGAAAAAAAAAAATATCGGTACTCGGTACCGAAATACCGGTATCGGTGCATCCCTAGTAAACATAAACCTATTAGATTTGAGTCGATTAAAACAAAAATTAATCTGATGACTAAAATGCAACTAAAAATAAAAATTTATTTTCATCAAAAGACTAAGACAAAAATGACATTTGGTGCCAAAATTAACACTGCTCTCAAGGGACCAGTGCAACCAGTGCGGGCTCTCGGTTGTCAGTATAGGCTCTGGGTGGTCAGTGCGGAGGTCATTGCGGCCTCTGGGCGGTCAGGCCGGCCTCTGGCCGGTCAATGCAGAGGTCAGTGCGGAGGTCAGTGCGGCCTCTGGGCTGTCGGTGCAACCTTCTGGGCGGTCGGTGCGGCCCCTTGGCGGTTGGTGCAGCCCCTGTCCAGCCACAGTGCGGCATCTGGCCAGTCAGTGCATAGGTCAGTGTGACCTCTGGGTGGTTAGTGTGGTCTTTGGGCGGTAATTACTTTAAAAAGTAAAGATCCACACTGTGTGTTTGCCACTGGCCATGCATCTGATCATATTGTATGTTGTCCATATAGGATGATCAGATGCATGGCCAAGCAGGCACACTGTGTGGATTTTTACTTTTTAAATTAAAGAGGACAGCAGCCAGTGCCAAAGGCTGAATAGGGGCCCGACGATGGCAAAGGCCACCCACCCCCAGCGCCGGGCCCCTATTCAACCTTGGGCATTGTCTGCTGTCCTCTTTAATTTAAAAAGTAAAAATCCACACAGTGTGTGTCTCTGAAAACGGCCTCCTCCCTCTGCAGCTGCCTGCCTCGCTCCGCGCTGTGAATTTTTAAAAACAAAAACCCTTCCTGCACGTTTGGGAATGTACCAATTGTACAGAGGGGGAAGGGGGGCGGGCTTGACCGTACCAAATTGCCCGTACATACAAATTTATAGTAAAAATTGCTTGGTCGGAGCCCGGGCCTCCCCCAGCCGCCTGTGCCCCTCACATTAGTATTGGCCGTACCCCCCTGATGGCGGCCCTGTAAAAAAATAAGGTCCAGTATTTATAATATTTAAGGTGCTTTAATGCGTTTTTAGGATTGAACTCCTGAGTTTAGTGTCACTTTAACTTAAAGCCTAACTCAGGGCTCGCTCCTTTGCCTCCTCTTCCCTTTTGGAATTCCCTCCCAGCCCTTTAAAAGATTCCATATACATAACTTTTTTTCTGGTGTCTTCAGTTGGGTCCAGTGATGTCACAGGTCCTAATCATCATCTTCTTCCACTGGAAATGTTGTATATATTCTAAATAGAGGATAATGCACATAATGATGTGAATCATCTTTCTGTAGCATTCCCCTGTCCAGGGTAGGGAACAGAGCTATGAGGGCCTGGGTTCATAGGAATTGGATTAAATGATGCTGGGCCTTAAGTAACCCAGAAAAAAACAGGTGCAGGAATCACTGATTCGGTGATCATTGACAGCAACGGAGATGGGAATATGGCAGTGGGAATTTGGCCAACCTGGGCTTCAACCTTCATTATGGTTTTGTACTGGTAGACCTAGATAGACCCCAAACTGAATTCATTATTGCCAGAAACATTGAAAACAAGACAAGCATAAGGTGCTAGTTAAAAATACTTTATTAGCAAAAGTGTCCACAGGAAGAAGCAAAAATCATAAAGAGGAACAAGCCACGGTCAGGAACCGGAGTGGGTAGTCGTACAAACCAGGTCAGGAACACGGAGATGAGCGCTGTTAGGAACAAGCCAGGAGCAGGAGCCAGGGAGAACATCAGCCAGGATCGGGTCATACACGGAATCAGAATACTCAGAGCAGCAGGAATGCACTAGCAAGTAAAACCACGCAAGGGCAAGGTCAGACTGGACTGAGTGGTTTATATAGTGTGTGCGGTGACATCATCACTCAGAGACAGGAAACTCCCATCTGGCTCTCTCAGATGATGCTCTCCTGTTTGGCCATAAGAGGGAGCCTGGGAGTAGTGAGCAACATTCCAGAGTCTGCTCAGACAAAGGAGGAATCACAGGTGGGTGGAATGGCAGCCAAGCCAGAATGCTGCAAACCAGTTAAGGTTTGCATCCCTGACAGTTATAAGCTGGAACATAGCAAATCCAGAGTGGTCAAACATTGAATGAAACTAGTTTACAACACTGGGCTCTAGATTTGGATACGTGAGAGTGAGTCTTGTAATAAAAGTTTGATCTCCAGCTCTGATTTTTGATTTCCAGCTCTGACCCTCACACACACTGCCTACCAGCTTCTTGATTGCCCAGGAAGCCAGCTCCATGCTGATTGGCTGGCTCCATGCTGATTGGTGGGAAGCCGGCTTCTCAGCCAATAGGCATGGAGCCGGCTTTCCAGCCGATCAGGAAGCCGGGAGGCGGGTCATCACCCACCGGCCGTCTTTCTGATTGTTCAGAAGCCACATCCATGCTGTTCGGCTGGCTCGATGCTGGTTGGTTGGAAGCAGGTTTTCAAGCCAATCAGCATGGAGCCGGCTTTGGTATCGGTGCATCCCTAGTTCCAACATTAACAATTCCCGACTTCCCAAGGGGCCCCCGTCAACAAACTGACACCAATGAGGGGAAGCACCATACCACCAGATGCCCCCCCTTCGGTGACCATCTCACATTTTCCAGACCCCAGGAGAACCCCTAACCAACCAAGTTGCCGTGATGGACACATATAAATAACAACCACCAGCAACATTAAATAAATGGTGGGACATCCTGCTTCCTCTATTGACTATCTAGAGAGAACTCCCAGCAGCCTTTGCAGCTCCATCCCATGCAGCTTTTTCACCATCTGACCATGGCCTCCAATCAGGTAAGATCTATGATTTTTTCCCCATGTTTAACCCTTTCCCCAGGGACAATTTCTCCAGTCAGTCATGTAGACCCTCAGCTTAATATCTCAGAGTCTGTCTTTTATCAGCATAAACCTTGTGATCATCATATCCTTGCTTGAGCTGCTGATGACATGGCTGTTGTTATGTATAGAAAACCATGTCACAATGTATGTTATGTATAGAAAACCAATGTAGTGGGGTGTGGCATGGTTAAACCACCTTACAGAGACCCAACTTAAAAAAATGAAGGTAAAAAGCACAGAAACAACAAATATTTTAAATTCTTTCTTTATATATTTTAGTACATACATGCTACATTTTTACAAAACTATATTTATAAATGCATTTGTGGAATACAGCTAATATACGTTGCTGAATCTTTGTTTATATTAGTTTCCAGTAAGCCTGTATACTGTACAGCTGTTTTGTGATCAATCTAGGCACGAGCGATCACAACAAAGTGATAGCATTTATTATAATATCAAAAGACGCACGCAAATGCTATTGTTTCACTCGATGTGATTAACTTAGATAATGTAGATCAAAAATACCACCTATGAGGCATAAGTCTAAATGATCTATAAAAACAAATTGTTTATCTGATGAGTATCATGGTCGGTTCTCCTACAAATGTCTCCCAACATTCCATCATGGCTGGTCGACTTGGCATAGTCCAGATCAATCAAGAGCTTACTAAATTGATTCAGCAGTGAGTCTTTGGTTTGCCATTGTCATTGAGTTTGATCAGTTTAGTTGCACTGAAAGAGCAATTGAATGGTTGTATCAATACAAGTGTGGCTACCAGAAGAAAAGGGGTTTACTGGCAGGAGGAGAGAAAAGAGTGAGCAGGATGGTGAAGCCTATTTGTCCAATCAGCTGACATGAGGTGGTTTGGTGACCAAGCTGTAATAAAAAAATAAAAATAAATCAGGCTCCTACTCTGGTTGCTCTGTTAAGGAGGGGGTGCCTGGATCACCAGACTGCCTGTTCTGAGTTAGAAATCTATCAGCAGTTGAGGGAGTTTACCTGGCATTGAATGTTGTTTGGGTGTATACTGCTCCCTGTGTGATGAACTGGCCGTTCTACACAATGCAACTTATTGTCCAATTAAGTTTTGCGAGTAACATTAGAAGTGGCGTGTGGGTCTACGTCTTTTCATTTGGGACGTGTCCAATGTGTGACCCACCGCACTCCTGACCAGTATACTCCTTGAACATGTTGAAATTATTATTATTATTATACAGGATTTATATAGCGCCAACAGTTTGCGCAGCGCTTTACAATATAAGGAAGACATTACAATTACAATACAAATCAAGACAAGATGGTAAGGATGACTGCAGATGGTGCTAGTAAGACCAATGAAGATAGAAGATGTCACCAGCGCACCAAACAAAACTCATCCAAATAAAAAGCCTTTATTGACACATAGACATATTGTCACAAGGCTGGCTTAAGATGCCATCCTTGTGACAATATGTCTATGTGTCAATAAAGATTTTTTATTTGGACACATTTCTTCGGTGTGCTGGTGACACCTTCTATATGCATTCATTTGGGACATGACTCAGAATTCAGCTGCCACTTGAGGATGTAGTATGTCATAGTGGACTTAGTGGACCATAGCATCACACACACAATGGAGTTTGACCAGTGAACCTCTTACCCATTCACTTCATCTGTAAAATAAAATCTGTGATTACCAAGATACTAGGCACCCATAGCTAGGCATCCATAGCTCCATCCATAGCTATCTTCTATAGAAAAACTAACAGCCTTGTAATGTGAGGACACAACAAATCCATCAATGTATTTCCAATCAAGCAGGCCATCACCGTACAAATCTAAAGGAGATGTTACAAACTGATTGTAGGCTGAATGAATAAATAATGGAATGAAGTAACTAATAAAGAATGCATGAACAAATAACTTTTATTTATCAGTTAGATGGTGTTTTGCCTTTCCTCATGAGATATTCTCTGGAATTCATATCTGGTCTGAACAATATGATGAAACATTTAGGAAAAAACATACAAATCAGCAATGCCCAACTAGAAGACAGTATGGCAAAAATTTCCATGGCCACCGTGTACTTGCCCTGAGCACTAAGGTAAGCCGGGATGAAAGAGATCCAGACACTGAGGAAGGCCACCATGCTGAAAGTTATATACTGGGCCTCGTTGAAGCTGTCAGGAAGCCTCCTAGCCAAAAAGGCCACAATGAAACTAGTGAAGGCTAAGAGACTAAGATACCCCAACATAGCCCAGAAGGCGATAGCTGAGCCTTCATTGCACTCAAAGCTCATGACTCTTGTGTCAGGTGTAGTGTTGAGTTCTGGAAATGGAGAGGCAACTGCCAACCAGATGATGCACAAAGTTAGTTGTAGAAGAGTACAGGTAAGTATTATTAAGTATGAAACCCAAGGACTGGTCCATATCTTCAGTTTGCTACCAGGTCTGGTGGCCATGAAGGCAAAGACTACCATGATGGTTTTGGCCAAGATACAAGACACACATAGAGTAAAAACCATGCCAAATGCAGATTGCCGTAGGAGACATGTCTCTCTTTGAGGAGGTCCAATAAAAGTCAAAGAAGAAAAGAAACACAGAGACGAGGAGAGGAGGAGAAGACAGCTCAGATTGTAATTGCTGGCTTTCACTATGGGGCTTTTCCTATACTGGACAAAAAGTCTCAGGATGACACTAGGAACCAGAGAAGAGACAATGGTGGTCACTGCTAATGTTACTCCTAGTGGATCGTCATAAGATAGGTACTCAGTGGTTTTAGGAAGACACATGGATTTCTGAGCATTTGGCCAATGATCCCACGGACACTTGATGCAATCAAAAGAACCTGAAAAGTATTGAGAAAAGAAATTCCTTAAAGCAGTTTTCCATTAATGACATTTGTTAAAATGCATGGAGAAGATTACAACAATGACACACCTAAAATCTGAATAAAATGAGGAGCATGAAATATAACACAGATATATGAAATGTAAAAAGTATATTTGGTTGAATCATTAAATAATTCAGACTCTAGTTTGGAATAAGGTTGTATCGAAGAGTTAATCTGATAGAGAAATTTGAGTTTTAGTAGTCTTGGATCTTTTGGCTTTGACCACGGGCACACTTAGTGCTAAAGTATCTAATGTAATTAGTGATGGGCTGAACACACCTGAGTTCGGTTCTAACTAGGGATGCACAGATACTTTTCAAGTACCAGTGCAGATACTTGGCATTTTCATGAGAACTACCAGGGTTTCAGCGGTTGCAGCTGGGACCTGGCTCTGGCGGACCACAACTGTCCTGAAATCATTAGTCTGCATTGTTTTAGAAAAACTGTCACATGAAAATAAACAAAAATGTATCAGTACTCGTACTTGTAAGTACTCGGGAAGTACCAGTACTCGTACTCGCAAAACTGGTATCAGTGCATCCCTTTATTTATAGTTATAAAAACAAAATCGTACATTAAAACAGAGATGTACAAATCCCAGGAGCTCCGTGTGCTCCTTACATATGACAGCTGCCTCCTAATTTTTGAATTTTTCTCTAGTCTAGCCTTGGAGCTCAAAAGTATCGGTACATGTACTTGTACTTGTACCGAGTACTGTACTTGGTATCTGTGCAACCCTAGTTCTAACTCGAACTTTCGAACATGGAAAAAGTTTTAACTCAAACTTAGAACTCAATGTAAGTCTAAGGGACCAGAACTCGGAAAGCTGTAAGCAGCCTTATATAGTGGTGCTGGGACGTAGCTGTGAACAATGATTGGGCACAGTAATCATTACTTTGCCCAATCATGGCTCTTCATTGCACCATGCCATGATTCGGCAAAGTCTTGTGCCTGACCTGTGGCCAGGTGCATTGCTTTACCCAATCAGGGCTCTCCAATGCACACAGTGCATTGCGGGGCACTCGGCGGGAGAATAGCCTGCTGAACGCCCTGACAGTTTGTGTGTTCTCCAAACACATGAACTAGCGATGTTCGAGTCGAACTGTTGTTCGACTCAAACATCGAGCCCATGACTAAATGTAATAATAGTACCTGTTCTAACATAAATATACCTGATGAGCCCTGGCACCTTGTCTAGATTGATTGGACTCCTAGATACTACAGAGTGCAGCAGGTTAGTGGCAAACTTGTTTATGAGTTTATGGGTTCCAGAACCCCTGTGCTCCTACTTCTGGTTATCTGCTCCTTCACGGACCCTGGTACGTCTTTGAATTTGATTTGAACCCTGACTCAGTACTTAGCCAGTTAGAATGCTTCACATTAAGCACATATGTTGGCTCTAAACCATTGGTTCTCAACCTGTGTAACCTCAGCACCCAAATTTTTCCATGGTCATTAAGTTGCGACCCAAATCTCACTGCAATGGACCGCACGGCATTGCGGTACTGTGTGTTCCGGTGCGGGCGATCGAACTGTGAGTGAGAGGTGTGTTTGGAGTACCATTCAAATGAATGGCAATGCAACATACCTCCCACACCAGAACGCGTAGTAGGTGTGATTGCATGGTATAGTGCATTGCTCTGGTCCCGGCACCTCTACAGGACACATGAGGGAGCTGTAAGCAATGCAGGTATGAATGGAGCTCCCTTGCCGCCATAGCCCCATCCTATCCCACCTCGAACTGACACTCGATGCTGGGCAGCATATTCTAAATGGCTCCTTGATGCGAGAAGTGACAGTGCTGCGCTAGGGGGAGGCTGAGGAGCCTCTCACCTAGAAAAGTGGAAGGCATACAGCGACCCACTGAACATGGGGTCGCGACCCACTTTTGGGTCACGACCCACCAGTTGAGAACCAAGGCTCTAAACTATACTAATTTGGCACCTTAATTTGGCATCTTATTGTTCTATAATGTTTGTTGTTTCATTCACCTGCCTTCTGTATGTGGTTACCAGAGAGGCAGATCTTCTGTTCAAGCCTCAATTTATAAGTTATCATGTCTCCAGTTATTTCTACCAGCTTTGTCTTTGAACAACTGTATAGCTTCTTAGATTTTGCATCCCTGGCTGCATGCTGTGGTTCCTTCTGCTGCGCCCCTACATCACTACAGACGGTAGTAGGAGAAGTAGTAGTTGTAGTAGTAGAGGTGGTAGTTGTTGTAGTAGTAGTAGTGAAATTTGGGCTGGCAGATTGAACCAGTGCAATGTGTGACATTCCTGTAAATGTTGGGTTCTGCTTAGTCTTTGGGAATCGTTGTCTCTTTACTATTGCAGCAGAGATTGGTGGTGTGGGCAGCAGGAGAGAGGAGTATTTTTTTCATGTTTGTTATTATTGGTTAGCATTTGTTCATGGTGTTTTTTTCTTCTCTTTCCTTACCTGACTGATTAGAGATCTCTCCATTAGGACAAAGCACACACTGATAGCAACAGACAGGTTGTCCTTTTCTTGGAGCCTTCCGAAATCCAACTGGACAGCTTTCACTGCAGACCGACCGGGGGACCTGATGGTATGCCAATCACAAAACAATCATTATTCAGAACTGCCCAAAACGAATGCTTCTGGGATCGCTAATCTATAGCTGACAGTTTGCAAAATTACATTATGCCGAAAAGGAACTCAAGCCATATCTCTGTTTCAGAAAGACTTGTGAAAGTTTTTTTTTTTAAGCTGAACTCCAGAGAGATATAAAAAAACACAAATGAATGCAGCTCCAATATTACATTATTAACTGTATTTTTAAAGTTGTAATTTAAACATTTGGGGAGAAATCTTACCATTGGGGGAAACTCACTGGGGAAAATCAGTGTAGGTACATGAAAATGTCCCAGTATGAGGGAGTTTTCACTTAGCTGCCAAAGGCAGCCGAGTAAATAACCGAGCCAGATTAAAGTGAGCCGAATGCTGTTCGACTATTCACTTCAGCCTTGTACGGCTGATTTCAGTCTTACATTGGCTAAAATCAAACGTACATCGGCTGCCTTCAGCTGCCTTCGGTCAGCCGAACATACGGAACGGCTGAGCCGAAGCTCCGGCAGCTCAACCGCTGTCATTCACCCCTATTCTCATAGGGGGTCGAACGGCAGTAAGTGAATAGCCGAATGCCGCCTGTCACTACGACTCAGCTGAGCCGCAGCATATGCATTCGGCTCGGCTGAGCTGCTCAGCTGAGCTGTTCGGCTGCTGTAGGGCTATTGTAAATAGCCCGTACAGCAGCCCTTCGGTTTGACTGAACTGAAGGGCAGTGGTGGCCAAAGCAAGCTGAAGGATCAGCTGAAGCTAAAGCTGGATTCTTCGGCTCTTTAGTGAATAACTCCCTTAGTGTCTTTCAGTCTCCCATAGATCAGATCTTAGACGGGGGAGTGCGAAGCAACACTAGGAGCCAATCAATTGTACTGCAGTTCTCATGTATCAACAAGGAACATGCTGATGAGAGGAGAGAGAAGACTGACTCAGAGATACACTCATGAGTCTGCTGCTTCATCTTGACTGTCCAGTCACAGGCTGGGGGATGGGGCAACACCTCTAGGTGTGACTTCTTAGTTCAAGCACTTCTTGTTATAGGGAGACAAATTAGGTGGCATCTTATTGCATCTTAGCAACCTGTAACCCTCTGGATGGCACCCCACCCAGCTCACTGATGTCACTGGTTGCCAGGAGCTGAGCAGAACACTCTGGCTGGCATCCCGCTCAGCTCCTGGCAACCCGTGACATCAGTGAGCTGGGTGAGACGCTGGACCAGAACCCCCTACCCTCATCCCC